TCTAGTACCGAGAATTGTGGAGATTGTCGCTTATTAAGTTAAATGTCATGTAATAACTTAAGTTAGACAATGATTGATTTTTTCACTCGATCCTTATCTATAAAATCAATGCAAGTGAAAAGGTTACGAACTGCCAATAGCTTATATCTAAAATTATCATTACCTGTATAAATCTTAGTTAGTAGGGAAACTAGTTGGGAACATAGTCAAGAGTTTGTAAAAAGAAAGTGATATGGTATAAGAAGAAAATATTGACGCGATTTCAGTGGGATTATTTTATTCAATCAAGGTAAATAATAAAGTCACGCACAATATTATGGTCGGAAAGGCTGGGTTTTGTTTACTCCTCTTTTGGGTATGGTGAAAAGAAAAAAGATTACAGATTTTTCGAAAAGATTTGAAATGTTGATATAATAATAATGACCTCAGATTTACTTGATTTTATACGTTCCGTAAGTCTAATCATTCCGGACTTATATGGAATACCCAAGGTGCCTAAGCTCGGATACGTTTAACTCACTCCACGAACGAACAGGTCAATGGTTAGCGCAAAAACTGAAACCGTCTAGGAAGTAGGTATTTATACGAGTATCTGTACGTGATACATTTCAATCTGTTGATAACATTAAGAATGTCAATATTTTTGAAAAACTAATGTTTTGCCTAATATTAATTAACTGTTAACTAGCGTACAGTTAGTAGAAGCCATACGTTACATATGTAACTATACTGACTTTCATAATATAGATGTGGGCTTGTAGATTAACTAATTGAAAGAAATATTGTTATATTGTACTTGAAACATCCAGTTCTGCTTCACTAATCAACTATATCGACAACGATGATTGGGATCTTAAGCGTTGTTTCAAGCCTAAGCTACAAAACGATCATCTTGTTTCTGTTATCGAGTGATTTAACCTGTACAAAGTACATATGAACGACACATTTGACACTTTTTACGAGTATGTTCAATTAGTTGACACTTTACTTTCAGCATTTTTTATAGTTCCATAGATCTCATATTCGGAAATGAAGCAAGCTATTCCAATTTATTTCTTGATGTGCTTTTGACAAGATGTAGTGATGGATCCCTAAAAAGGTTCTTTTATAAAAAGAAACCATGAAACGGTCAGCTAACCAACTTCTATAGCAGGGTTTCACCAAATGAAAAGAGAGATCTTATTGACTTCCTACATCACCGATTGCGTAAGACCTCTTGTACTGAATGCATTGAAGAACTTGACTCCTCTAGAAAAGGCGTTAGACAAAAATGCTTATCCAAACCACTTCTTAGCAAGGGACAAGAAGGAAACTCTGAGCATGTTTTCCAGAAATTACATTTCACGTAACTATTTTTAAATAAATGTATAATTTAAATATGATCACACTACTGATATCCTTAAGTATCAGTTGTTTTCAGTAATTAAAACAACGTTCTATTCCAACTTTAAATTCATTTTTTAGGTGTTTAACATTAGTATGAGGTGCAGTTAAAAATATTCCTAACTTCTAATGTTAGTCTACCTGATTTAATGTACGAAATGTTTCTTTTCTGGGGAAGAAATTAGATCATTTTATATCAGTACTTTTTTCTTTGCCGAGCAAAGAGACAGATTATTTATTTACATTTTCTATTTGTAAGGTTCCACCAAATTTGTATTTTACACTTTTATCTCACTTAAGAAAATAAATTCATTAACAAAACTGTGATACCAAATATAAGAAGGATATTTTATTGAAGCATACATTTAATTACATACTATTTTGCAATTCGAAATGTCATTATATCGTTGTATTTTGTTAATTCGCACAAGTTTGACCTATACTCAACTTCTTATGATCTATTCATGTAATCATTACAAATCACGTCAACCTTAAATGAAAACGAAGATTATCAGAACTATGTGATATATGAGCGCAATACATTTTAAACAATTTAATCACACATATATTGTTAAAAACATTTATATATATAAATACACGGCCAACTAGACTAGAAATGGAGGGTAAAAGAAGAATAAAGAAATAATGTGAAAACACTTTGAAACCTCATCACTCTGGTACCATTGGCTTATTGTTCAGAGTGATACGATTTCAAATTGTTTTCACATTATTTGTCTATTAATTTAATAGTTGAATTCACGAGTCAGTTGAAACTAGACCACCATGGAAAACCTGAAAGCACTGGACGGTTGTTTTGTTCTATTGTGGAACTCCTCAGAAGTGCGCATTCACGATCCCGCCTCGCGAGATTTGTACCTAGGACATATCAGTCTCTCGTGCGATTACTTATCCTCTAGACTACTGAACCGGCACCCAACGGTGTTTATGCACACTGCCGAGGAGACTCACAAAAGAGCGAAACGGCCGTTCAGTGCTTCCAGATTTTCCGTGGTGGTCCGGCTTCAATTGACTCATGATCTCAACTATTTAAATTATTGTATTATCCACAAAACCACTTCTGATACTAATTGGACAATTATCTGACCCGCAAATTATTTTCATATTCTGTTCTTACCCCTTGATTATTGTGTAACCTCACTTGATAATAATAGCTCTGAATCAATTTATGATGCAATCTTTTTTATCCATCTATAGACATATATTTTCTATATAACTAGAAATACGAATATACAGCTAAAGTAAATGATTTCATCTTTATTTTTGTTCTTAAGAAGTATATGTGTTTAGATTAGATTGTTCGAAATGTATTGAGTTGATATATTACATAGTTCTATTAATCTTTATCATCTTATTACACTATAACATATTATAGATTATGCGTTATTATGTTTATTGTCAAATTAAATATCAACAAAATTTATTTACTGAAACTAATTTGTATACAACACTGGTTATCGACTCAATGATGTTTAAAAAAAGAGAAGAGAAAAAAAGGAGAAAAAAGAAAAGAAAAAAAACAGACTGATAATGTTTACATTCAATGCTAACTTAAACTATTTGTTTAATCAATTATATTTCTAAATCCATTATTCAGAACAGTGATTAGTAACCTAGTGAAATTCTAGTTATATTTTAAAATAACGACTAGATTTTTTTTTTTAAACAAAAATTAACAGTAATAATTGAGAGTAAATTTAGTTTCTATGTCATATTTTGTTACTAATGACCTATTTTTCTTTTACTACATTGTACTCTGATTAAATCAACAAAATTTACTAGTTTCACTCCATAATTTTAATAGATCTGTTAATTTAATAAATTCCAAAAGGTGTTGATTAATTTTTTTTTTAAATGTTTATTCTATAGTTTTAATCACTTATATATTGATCGATCTTTAACAGAGTTATTGTAATGAAAAGAATCCAAACATTATGTTATTACTGTATAGTAACAACCGGTTTGAGTCAATGTTTTATAATTAACCATATAAATATGAAATGGAAAATGTTCAAATATTATCCTTAGAAAGACCAGTAATTTATTTCATATGGTCAATAGTTTGATGTTTATTGAAATTAGCTTAATTTTTAGGAAAAAAATATTACATTTGCATGGATTTTTAAAAAGATTTTACACTTGTGGTTCGTTACAGTATGGTGTCATTTATTGGAAAAAATTATCGGACCAGTCTGAACAGTTGATTAATATCTACAACTGATTGTATGATATCCAGTAAATCCTACTAATTTGTGTACGTGTGTATCTTGATGAGAAATATGGTTCTCTACAGAGATAAATGTTTATCATTAGCATGTTAAGACTTATTTTTCTGGTGAAATTGAAACCGAATCATTCTCATATTGTTTTTACTTAATTATTGTTAGTGTTTTAGAAAACGATTGTCAGTGGTCTAGAGGTTAAGCGTTCGCGCGCGAGACTGAAGACTCTAGGTTGAAATCTCGTGAGGCAGGATCATGAATGCGCACTGCTGAGGAGTTCCACAATAGGACTAAATGGCCGTCCAGGGCTTCCAGGTTTTCAATGGTGGTCTAACACCAATCAGTTCATAATCTCAATCAGATTGTCTATTCATTTGTCTGGACCATTTGTTTTCCAGTTTTGCAAATAATACAGCAAAGTATTCAATTATTGATTTGTTTCACTTCATTAGTTCTAAATGTCAAGCTCATACAGAATAAAATCGTACAACCAAATGTAAAAATGGTTGGCTTAGTTTCTTTTTAGAATGGCTATAGAGGATTAATTATATTACATTACCAAAAGATTGTTGTAGAGGCGAAATTGTTCATAGATAATCAAAGACGATAACCACAATTTCGAATTTTCACTAGTTACTCGAAATAAAATAGAATTTTTCTTTAAAATACTTCATATTTTGTGCAGAAAATTCTTTACTGATCTGGAACATAGCGACTATTCAAATCATACGCAACGTTTTTCATCAAACGTTTGCGAAAAGTCAGTAAACCTTGAATAATCTACTTCCATTTCTTATGTAATAAAAACGCAAGCCGATAAAAACGATCTTTTCTTAATTTTGGACATTTGTCACAATTAAAAGGTCTTACTTTGCATTGTTTTAAGTGATCAATTAAATATATATACATACATATTCACTTCATATATCTATGAGTTTATTAGTGAATTATAAATGATTGCAAACTTAATTACTGAGAAAATTCCAATAAAACTATCAATAATGTTGGTGTATTATTCGATTTATCTATTCTTTGATGAACTCTTCCTCATAATCGTCAAGTGAATAATCTTTCAAATTTTATTTCTGGATATTATTTCATACGTATCATACATTGACTACTTTATAACTTTAAATCCTGGTTTACTTTTAGAACTTTTGTCAATGATACAATGATTCTTTGTTTTTTAATATAAACCACTATATATAGACGAAATAAATATAAATATGATTGTACAATTTCGTTAAGTGATGTCATTGCAATAGAAAATTTTATTCAGTGAAACGTCATCATTTTGTCTAACGATTGAATGGGTTTCTCTCTATGTTTTAAAACACATTCAATCAAAACTATCTTTTTATTTCTTTCAATTTAAAACTGCTTTAACTAAATATAGCATGATAGTTATTAAGTTAGAGACTTGCTACATCAGGAAATAAAAGTAATTACGAAATGATTAATTGAATAATATTCTTCATTATTAAACTTGTTTACAGATAAAACAAATCGTTCATTGGATTGGTCAATTAGTGCTCAATGTTCTTGCATATGATTGGTTAAATTAACTTGGAGCTTACTAGAAATCTTTAGAACTTTTATTAAACTTAATTGAAAATCTTTAACTAATATTTTGTTGGATTTTTAAAATTATCATTACACTACAGTACTTTGACTTAAAATACATGAATTAACTGGTTTCATAGGAAATAACAATGTCAGGAGTTGGATCTACATCAAATGCGTCTATTCATCGTAATGCAAATGATGATGGAAAAAGTAGAAGTCGTTATTTCTTACATCATCATGGCCCAGATCATTCTCAAGGACGATCTTTGAGTTCCTTCAAGCAGCATATGTCTAGTAGTGCGTTAGGTCATTTAATATCAAATGCTAGTCAAAAACATCTATCTCGGCAACATAAGACAACTCATCGATTTAAATACTCCAGTGCTGGTAGTCTGTCACATAATCAAGTACATTCACATAAGGAAAGCAATAATCATTATAAAACTGATGATAGAGTTTTTGAAGTTCTTCTAAAAGGACATGTTTTTGTACGTGCAACTTGTTCCCGACTTCGAGATCTGTGCGAATTCTGTCTACATTCAGTTCATGGTCACTCATATTTATATTGCAGAAATTGTCCCGTCGTAATTCACAATAAAGATATTTGTCAAGAACATCTTACCAGAGTGTGTCCTGCTCCAGAAATAGGAGTTACAGGATGGGGTGAAGGTAAAAGTTTTCATATTTTCAAATCCTTTTTTTCATAAAGTTATTTTTAAGTAACTTGTTAATTCATTTTGATATTGTTTTCGATAAACTTTTAGCTTATATTTGACTTTGACTCTATATGTAATATTCAAAAAATGAAGCCCTGTTATTCTATCGAAATATGTACAGCTTAAGATTTAACTGTTTTTTCCAGCTTTAATTAAGGACACTATACACCTAAATTTAACTTATGAACAAACTTAGATTTGTAAAGAAGTTTGACTAGCTATGGAATGATAAATTCACCCCTTGAAATTCATAATCGATGATTCCTATATTGTGAAAAAGCTTTTTACTTAGATACTGGTTGAAAAGCAGTTTGTTGTTTAGTTTGTGTAAAAAGGAAGATAGACATCTGTAAATAATTATGCATTTACAATAATGTGATATGTAGATTAACAGTCATATAGGTGAAATATGCTGAAATAATTACTACAAAGTTTTTCATACAAAATAAATATCTGAGGTGAATATGCTTCTTGAAGTGTCTACAAGTAGTAGGTATTTTTGAGAAGCCAGTTTTTTAATCAACCATCATCAAGTTTCTACAGTTCTATATCTAGACAAACGATCAATAAGAATGGTTGAGTCTATGACAAATACATTTTTTTAAAGTGCATCACGTCAATTTAAGATTGTTTATAAATAAAAAGATTGTTTATGATGAAATGGCTAATATCTAGCGTTAACTTGGATAAGATTATACGTCAAACAAAGTTGTGAGATTAATGATAAAAATAAATATTAATAAAATATTGTTGTTTTGATTATAAATCTAATCAAACGTTTGTTAAAATTTACGTAATGTATGGATTGATAAGAATTCAGTAAGAAATATCCAGGTGGAGTGAATGCTGAAAATCAATCATCTTTAATATTGAGAGACCGTCTGTAGTTGATAACTGTCTCACACCAGCGGTAGATGAACTCCACTAGTCACGGATTTTCACAAGAATCCCTGGAATTACTTGGTGAGGTTAGACACGTCTGAACACGATTATTATAAGTAAAAGGGGTTTATTGAGACTGTTGAACTTTTATAGTTTACTCCGCAGATTGATCTTAGCTAGACAATCACTGAAAACTAGGGAGTACTAGGAAACTTTTCCGTCCTAATACGAGACTTCCCAAAATTTCTCATCCACCTAGTGAGAATCAGTGACCAGTGGAGTACAACCATATGATGTGTAAGATAGTCATCCACTAAAGGCCATGGATAAGGATAGCTCATTATCGTGAATCGATGGAAGTTGGACATTAACATTAACATGACTGAAAGTCATGGGTTTAATTCCTGGTGGGGTTTTAGAAGGACATTGCCAAGGTGTCTCATACATAGAACGGAACAGCCGTCAACTACTTTCTGGTTTGAAATGGTTGCGAAAACAATATCAACATTTTGTGTTAACTTTAACAGTGTAACTATCTCCACAAATTGTCTGCACAACTAAACTATTGGTGTGTTTGAAAGACTAATAACAATGTTAGATTGTTAACTATAATTACAATAATAACGATGAAGATAATACAAAAATGAACAGAAGTACTAATGACGACAATGCCCCCAAATGCCCTGGTACGGCCGAGAGTGGGGAAAGTCTGCTATCCCTCTCCAAATACAGCCTCTGCCAGGGAAGTCCTACTCATTGCCTTCTCGTGACATTACTGTTGTTTACGAAAGTGAGAGGACGAAAAGCGAATGTCCGGCGCTTTAACCGGGTTGGTGGACATGGAGAGTCCACCTAGGGGAGTTGGAAAACCCTGATTCCAAACGAATGGTGCACATGGGCTCCAGTATCCTGAGTGAACTAATGGCGTATGAACCAATAATTGGTCACCGGCTACCATGGGACTGCATCTCCCTACGTTGTTCCACTGCCTTATGGATCAGACCTTCATGTCGAAGGCCCCGGGTGTGGCCCCCTGAGCAAACCACCTGCTTCGGTCTGGGCACCCGGGCAGTATCACAGCCCTCAAACATATCAAATGAGATTTGTGTCGTGCATATGTATTTGGTGCCTTCTTGTGCCAATATCTATGTGTTAACATAAATAAATAAAATGAATAAGACCAATTTTAAGTTGTGAAAACACAATAGAAAGGTTGTATACTCATTATTCAAATTAAGTCATTCTATAAAATAAACATTAACTTACTGAGCCTGGAGTAGACCGGGATAAGAGAAACAGGAAAATATATTTCATTTACCTACCTAGCTCCAATATTTTTATGCAGTGTGTGGAATATATTCAATCATATTTACATCTGAATATAGCATAAATCATTTGTCTGTTTTATTAATGATTAAGAATTTGTTTAAGTTTAATGTTTATGCTTGATGTTACTGATATATAAAGAATGGAATGCAGTGTGACTAATCTAATCTAGACCAGCAATTCACCGCTGAAAATGAACCGATTTTCTCAATATTATCATGTATTAACAATGATTAATTTTTAAGAGAAGGAATATTTTTTTTTGTCTGATCTTACTTATTTTGGTTGCATATCAATCTACGGTGAAATCATTTAGGATCACTAAACGGAATATTTAGCTTTTTTTAATGAATCTACTTAACTATGTACTAGTCGATAAACATTTTTATTTGAATTAATGAATACTACAGTTAAGTTTGTCACTGAATTTTAAATTAATTAGTGGTTAGCAATCATATACATATATCGTTTGTTTTAATAATGAAGTTTTGATTTATGAACATTTCATTTAGTGCAACTATAAAATATCATTTATATTAATCCTAAAAGGATTAATTGTTCCAGAAAAACTCATACAGATTCATTAATGTTATTCCTGGAAATGTGCACTATTAAGTAAATTGGAAATATTACCTATGAACATGTGCTCTTATAAGAAGTTCACTGAATATTTATTAGACCCATGTGGAGTGCTAGAAAGGAGTAAATATGCAACCCAGTAATTTTATTATACTTGTTTGTTGAATCATTTAATCTCTTAGTGTTGTATGTTTGTATTAAGCTATTATAGAGCAGTATCAGTTTTGATCAGTTAGACCATAAAAATATTTTGTTTTTGTTACAACAGAGAGAATATCAATGCCAACGAAATGAATAGAATAATAATGTTTATGAGACTAATTGATGATACACGTATCATGATGGAGTTTTGTTTTCTGAGCTAAATGGTTTAGTTGTGGAGCTTTCGTTGTTCTTCTGAACGACATAATCAGCACAAAATTCTGGTAGAAGTGAAGTGTGTGCTGTTGATATCATTCAGAAGAACAATGAAAGCTCAACGACCAAACCAATCAGCTCAGAGAACAAAACTCGACCAAAATCATCCACCTGAGCTGCAAATATTTTCTATCATGGTAAATATATCATATAAGATGACAGAAATCATATAAACAAAAGGCTTATTCATTCCAACTCATTTTATTTGAATGTAAAATTTACACTTGAGTAAATTACAACATAGGTTGTATTGCTTCGATCAAACTATGACAAAATATAAAAACGACTTAGTTACACATTAAATTTATGGTATTGCATCTAAAACTGGACAAAATCAACTAAACAACTGCTTTTACTCGGGTTTTTACGAAAGTAATCTCGTTTTTTAAAGACTAAACACATACTTTGATAATAAACTTGAAAACATGGAGGTTTTAATAGAAATTGACTATCTCCTAAATTTCATTAATCAACAGTGAGTCAAAAAAAGCCCAATACTAATCACTGTACCATAACAGAATATATTCCTTAAACTTTCATTTAAAAGAAATGACTTAAAGTCATAGAATAACTGTAGACTGAAAATAATTATTGAAGAGACATATCCAACAATAAAGTTAATCAGCTCATAATATATGAAATATATATTCTTGAAGAAATCTTTATTTATTTTCAGCTGTTAGCCCATATGTACTACTTAAAATAACACAAGTTAGAAGAAATAAAAATAGTTCTACATAAGACAATCACTTTAATATAAGCCAAGGATTCTGAAAGTAAATAGATCCAGATGGATTTCATACGATACTATTTTGTAATCTGATGTTCACCTCTGACCATGTTCGACGTTTCATGTTTTTTTTTCACCTTTAACCTTTGTAAACTTTTTATGCTCATCTTTTTTTCACTTAATTAGTTATGTTTTACTGCAAACTTTTTATTTGATTATTCATCTCATTAAATGTATCATCAATTTAGAAAACGTGTAACCTCAATCACTCGAGATATGAAAGTTCTTACCTTTTTTCGAAACAATCTTGAACTATGATTATTGTCACCATAATTAAGATTACTTTATAAAACTTAAAGAGAAAATCTTATTCACTCAGCACAAAGTTTGAAGCTTTACTTAAAAGGTGAACAGAATTCTAGCTCTTGTCACTTATCGAGCTACAATTATTCTACTTGTAAATGAAGTAAATTTAGAATATATATATTATTTAGGTATTTATATTGTAGTAAAGGAGAACACAGGTGAGGACAGCCAAATTATGGTTAGCACAAAATTACAGAGTTACTCGGTAATATAGAAATGGAATCCTGCCTGTTGGTCACGAAGTTGGGCATCTACGCAGTCCTTCATCCTGTTTAACAATACCCTGTTGAAGACTTTTCCCGGTATTGAGAGAAGAGTGATGCCCCTGTAGTTATCACACTTGCTGAGATCGCCTTTCTTTGGTATTTTGATCAGAAGTCCTTCTTTCCAGTCTTTTGGTACTTGTTTCTCATCCCAAATCTTATTGAAGAGAGTGTGGAGTATTCTTGCGGTAACCGCTACGTCTGCTTTCAGTGCCTCTGCTGGAATGTTGTCTGGTCCTGCTGCTTTGCCACTCTTGATTTGTCTGATGGCCGTGCTTATCTCTTCAATTGTTGGTGGGTCAACATCTATTGGGAGGTCCGTGTGTGCTGCTTCGATGTTGGGTGTGTTCAGTGCAGCTGGTCGATTCAAGAGTTCTTTGAATTGTTCTA